AATTAAATAAAATAGAGCCAAGAACATAAATCCACATACGTACATACACATTATATCAATATTTTTAAAACGTTAGACAGATAGATAGATAGATACTCTTTATTGTTTCGTCCATAAGATCACAGGCCTATTAGACAAGACAAGACAAACGCATTCATTAATGTAATCGACATCGCTAACGAGTCCGTCAGATAGAATGAGATAGCAACGTCGGATGTCTCATTCCAACTTACGGACTCGCTAGCGATGTCGATTCTATTGACGAGTTCGCTTGCCACTTGTCTAAAAGGTCTGTAGTAAACTTATTATAGATACAAACGATTATAAGAAATGATTACAGTGAGAGAACAATGAGCTTGCTTATGTTGTTATTCATAAAAACGTCAAACGACTCATAAATCTATTTTAGCTATTGAAATGTTTTGTCTCTATCTTTTGTACTATATTTCCAATTTGAAGAAAGTGACAAAACAGTATTAATAATTAAAACAGGTTTATAGTAGGTTTAAGTTTTTTTTTTTAATGGATGATAATGGAATAGTAACCCCGCCTGCGCTATCGGTATACGCTGGCAAGGCACCAGTGTCCACCATTTCACTAGAATTATTTACGATAGTTTCTAGGGGGAACCGCGTGGAGGTCGACCTGATATAGTGTATTGTTAACAATGGGTCAGTTAGACGCCATTACTAACAATCCCTTTCCCCCCAGTAGGTTTAAGTTACAAAATAAAATACAACAATAATAAATATAAAAAAAAAAAATTAAAATACTACTTCCTTTATCAGTGATCTGGTAAAATGGCACCGACATAACAATATTATACACGTATATGTCTACAAAGTTTCATAATTACAGACCCAGTCAGTTGAACAATAATTATTGCACCTCGTTAGCGTACCGCCCGCCATTTCGCTACAAATTGTGCTTATTACGCTCCCTGGCTCCCTCCCGCGCGAGGAAACTTCGCTGTCAGAGTGACGTTACAAATTTGGAGGGAAATGTACGGATGACAGTAAATATTAAAAATGGCGGAAAGCGGGAATAATTGTTACTCGAGCCTAATTTATAAAAAGTTTGAGTCTTATATATAATTATCCAAGAATGTTTAATTAATAATTAATTAGAGAAGTATTTTTTCATATCTTATTTTTTTTTGTGCAACTTGAAATAGGTATTAAGATAGCTAGAATGCAATGTAGCAATTTCCAATCGCTTTAAACAAAGGAGGTTTCCAATTCAGTTGTATGTATTTTTTTAAGTTTATTACGGAAATGGAAACTGATATGGAAAATACTTTTTTATCTGAAAGGAGGATATATTTTTAGATTGGTCCCATAGAGATTTTATCAAAATCGGTTCTATAGTTTAGTTTTTAAATCAATAGAACTGGCTTTGCCTTAATTGATGTCCGTTTTTTTATGAATATGTACATAAGAGTATTAAGTATTATATAACATGATTCGGCAGCAGTCATCCTTAACAGAGCCAGAGGGAGAGCACCAGAGGGAGACTTTGTACAAAAGTCGATTGCTTGGGTACCTCTGTCCCATTCGTGTTTCAACCGTGAAGCAGTTGTGTTTGCATGATTGTGTTTCGGTTTGAAGGGTGGGATATGGCGTGAATTTACAGAGGAATAACACCTGAGTCCTCAGAAATGGCAACGCATGGGAGGTATCATGGGCGAAACAGTATACTCTGTTATGTCCACGGTACTGCTGATGTGTATAGGCGACGGTTACCACTTTCCATCAGGTGGGCCGTCAGCTTGTTTGCCATTCTAAGTTGTATAGAAAAAAGCAAACAACCTTTGTACAAAGTCCTCTTGTCTCTATGGTATTTAACAGAAAGAAAAAACTATATCTCAGTTGTGTCAATAAAAAAAAAAATTTTTTTGAATAAAGAATTGAGGAAGGAAAGGGATTGTTAGTAATGGAGACTGAGAATCCCATTGCTAGCAATATACCCAACCAGATCGACCTCCTCGCGGTTCTCCCTGGAAACTATCATGGTTAATTCCCGATGAATTCATCATGATGGGCTAACTGGCCTGTTTTCATTCTCATCTATCACCCTTCACTGGTGCTCCGCCAGCGTATCCCGTTAGTCCAGGCGGGGTTACCATACCATTTTCACCCATAAAAAAAAATAAAGAATAGAGAATCTCCAATTTGACGTCGCTTAAAAAATAAAACTAATTAAGGTCGGTACACACTCCATGCTCGTTATCGCGGCACGTGCGCGGCGCTACGTGAAATCACGCGTGTAAACGGCTTTATGATTCCATTCTTGGAATTGTTCTTTGTCTATGTATTGTTTATTATTAGTCACCTATCGAAGCCCGCATTAGGGAAGTTGCTTCAAATGGTCCTAAAACTAAATTTTGTCAGTGTTCGTGTGTCTGACCTATTTGCAATTTTTTTATGGGTCAAAATAAAAGAAGCCGGTGAGGTGTGAGTCGAATGCACACGTCAAGGATTCCGTATTAGGTTTAGGTCATTTAGGTCCATAATTTTGGTTAAAAACCGGATCGTATAACTAATTTTATTTTTGGATATTTTTTGATAATTTGTCAAAAACGGTGCTAGTTAGAAACGTCGTTTTATTTTTCCTGTTCACATATACCTTTATAAAGTGTAAGTTATTATTTCAGAATTTTCACTTTAAAAACTTTGGTGATTTTTTTATTGGGTGATAATGGCATGGTAACCCTGCCTGCGCTATCGGTATACACTGGCGGGGTACCAATGAGAGGTGATAGATGAGGACGAAAAGGCAGGTCAGTTAGCCCATCGTGACGAATTCAACGATAAATTAGTCACAATAGTTTCCAGGGGGACCCGCGTGGAGGTCGACTTGATAGGGTAAATTGATAGCGATGGGGACTAACCTACCAATTACGGGGGGAAAGGGATTGTTAGCAATGGAGTTTGACAGCCCCATTGCTAGCAATATGCCTCATTAGGTCGACCTCCACGTGGTTCCCCCTGGAAACCATCGTGAACAATTCTTGTTGAATTCGTCACGATGGCCCAACTGACCTGCTTCATCCTCATCTATCATCACTCACTGGTGCCCCGCCAGTGTATACCGATAGCGCGGGTGGCGTTACCATTCCATTATCATCCATTAAAAAAAACGAGGTACCAGTAAGAGATAAAAGGTGATAATGAAGTTAAACCAGTGACAAATTCAACGAGAACTTATTACAATGGCCTCCAAGTGGAACTGCGTGGAGGTTGACTTGGTAAGGGTATACTTTTAAAAATGGACTGCTAGACCTTATACTAACCACCCACTAACCAACGATCCCTTTCCGCCCACATGAGTACATTAAAGTTACAGAGTATTCCTATTACATCTATGGCACCGACTTATTAAAAAAAAAACATTGTCAATAAAAGGCGGGAAGTAGCATAGACAAAAGCTGTTCGAATAAAGAATAGTGTACGTTCCATATCATTGTGACCGCCGGCGGCGATGTTGGAATGGTTACCGTCACAGCGGTGGTCCTGGGAAAACGACGTCACTCCTGTACAGAGTAGGTATAGACAATAATGTTTTGAATGCGCGCCAAATAATTACTGCTCCCGTGCGACGTGGGTGTTGTAATTTTTTCCCTATTATTTAAATCCATGAAAATCATTGCAATCGTTAAATAATAATAAAGTTATTCACATTCTAAGTTTAAATTTGTATTTAATGATTACTTTATTGTATGGAATAAATGACTATTAATCACGGAGCTGTAGATTATCTAAAGGTTTTCCGAAATTTCGGGGCCGAACGAAACACAAGTTTGATGTTAAAATAATGTGTGAACATAATAGCTACATACCGTTTAAATATATTAAAAATGTTAAAATATCATTCCTTTGGACTTTTATAGTTGGATTTATGACGAACGAAATGTTACACCTTTCCTACTGGAATGGCGTAGTTACCATTCCATTTTCATCTATAAAAAAACTAGCCTGCTTTTATTCATTCTCATCTGTCTATCGTCTCTAGTGATGTTCCGCCAGCGAGTTTTTTTTTATACCACTCAGGTGGCAAACAAGCATACGGCCCACCTGATGATAAGCGGTTACCGTCGACTATGAACGTCTGCAATACCAGTGGTATTACGCGCAAGTTGCCGACCCTGAAGAAACCTCTTTACTTTTACTCTCCTTTTGAAGAACTTCAAGCTGTAGTCTTTTAGGAAAACCTCGGCATAAGAATGTCGTAAAAGGCAATTATAGGAGCACATACACCGGTGGGATAGAAAGAACTCGGAAGCTCTATACCGAGTCGTTAGGCCATGATACAAGTCAATTATATCCAATAGCGAAATATTAAAAGTTTTTATAAGTTTGCGGTATGAGCTCATTCCATAACTTGAGTGTTTGTGGGAGAAAACATCTCTGTTTCAAGAGATCGGCAATTCTCAAACTCGTCGTTGCATCGAGTCGAAGGGTTCAAGCTAGTACAAGTTAGATTAGGGGTTATCATTTCGTTAAAAAATAAAACCTGACAGAACAGTACGACAGTCTACTGATGTCCAGTAGTCATACAAAAATCGATCAATTGATTAATGTTTGGATTTGTTACTAATTTTATTTACTTTCTCATTTAATAGACTTAAGTAAACTATTTACAGCAATGCCATCTAGTGGCACATTCACTTTCTCAAAAATTTCAGGAAGCAGTTGATATTCTACTGCATGATAGATGTCGCTGCACACCAAATATCTACTTGACAATAGATGACACTAATTACTATGATAGTCCAAATCAGGTGATATAAATATTTAGGAAGAAAACGCGGGAAACGTACCTAAATAAGGCACTGCAAAGGTTAACTGTCCATTGTTAAACATAGACCATTAAGTTTTCTTATTCGCTTCTTATGACATCCACAGGAAAGGAACGGGCGCCCAATTCTATGCCGCTGGGACAACACTGCAAAGGCGTATAACATCAAAAAGTGTAAATGGTGATAAATGAAACGATTCTAATATGAAATATATTTTTATTCTTATATAGTAACTTAATAATATATGTATCAACTTAGCTAGTTTGTTGTTTGTTTCAAAGTTTCACCTGTGTACCTCCAGATATACGTTACAATCGTGTACACGTTTAAATCGATAAGTTTGTAAAAGAAATCTTAGTTTCCGAAACTATTTACTAGAGGCGCTGCTGAGTTTTCAATATAAAGTTAAGACGTCTTTATCTTATTTATAAAAAAAAAATCTTAAGCAATGGAATAGACTGTAAGCCCTCCATTATGATTATGTTCCAATAGGATTTAATGAAAAGGTAACCAAATGTTGTTGAAATTACCATAAAAATACTAATTAGAAATTAATAGATTTTTGATTTATGATGCTATTGGACATCAGCAAACTATCATATGTTTGGGGTCAATAATTTTTTTTTTATATAATAATAATAATAATAACTTTATTGTGGCTAAAAGTCGGGTACACAATTTCTTATACACTAGGCTCGCAGGCCTGTATCGTAGTAGTCAGTGAGTGGCTAATTTTGTTCATATTTATTGCCATTTACAGTCCGGCTCCTGTACAATTTTATCATTTAGGTACTCGAAAATTAAATTCTATTGAACCAGACTATTTTCATTAAATCCTATTGAACCAGACTATATGATTACAAAGACGTAAATGGTCACCATTTTAGATTTTGTTAGCCATTTTCAGTTGTACATAAAAAGGCAAAAAGGGTTATAGGGGTACTGAAGAAGGTACAGATTAAAACGACCTCATCTGATTATGTAACCATCAGGCAGACCTAAGCTTAATTGTCACTGAAAGTCCGTAACTTGGTAGGTTTGTTTAATATAAGAGGATTTATAAGTCTTGCTTACTGAAATGTGGTAATGTCACAATAATTGGTTAATTTTCAATATTTCCAACTCATTATTTAAACACTGCTCTTCTACCAAACTAAAACATTAATTATACAGTATGTTGTCATATAAATCTACCACGAAAAACTTTACACCTACTTCATATTTTGCTTTGGAATTTTTCAAATAGATTTATGCCATCAAAATGCAAATTTACTGTTTTGTTTTATATCATAAAGGTGGCAAACAAGGGTTTTTGATAGGCCAGTTTCATAGTAAACAGTTACTTGTAGTCTATGGACGCTTGCAAAACTAGGGGTATTACATACACATTTTCACCTCTGAAGAAATCTTAATACACCCTCTTTAAAGGATCCTATACTATATACTGTAATCTCCAGGGACAAGTTCAGCAGGGAGCTCATTCCACACCGTCAGCACTTGTAGGAGAATTCCTTTGAAACCGCACTATGCATGACTGTTTAAGTTCAAGAGTGTAAGGATGAATTTCCTGTCTATGGTGAGTGGTTTTTTTTTATGAATGATAATGGAATGGTAACCCCGCTTGCACTATCGGTATACGCCGGCAGGGCACCAGTGAGAGATGATAGGTGAGAATGAAAAAGCAGGTCAGTTAGCCATGGAAACCATTGGTGCTGAATTTCAAGTGAATTCATCACGATGGTTACCAGGGGGGACCTCGGGGAGGTTGACCTTTTTGGGCATATTGCTAACAATGAGACTGGTAGTGCGCATTATTAACAACCCCCCCCCCCCATGGTTTGACCACAACCACCATAATATGGCATCATGACAGTGACTGCTTAATAAGAATATTATTGCATGTTAATGTTTTAGTTCAATAGAAGCAGTGGCGTAACTATACCATTTGGGGCCTGTGGCAAATTCTTTTGATGGGGCCCTATCAGTAAAAAAAATTCTTTTCGAGTAAAATAAAGTACTCAGGTAAAATGAAAAAAAAATTCTGAGCTTGCGGCCTCTTCAGCTGGGGCCTTTTTGGGATGGGGGCCCGTGGCATTTTGCCAGCCCTACCGCCCGATTGTTACGCCACTGAATAGAAGAGGACTTTTTAAATATCAATCAGTGATGTTATCAAATGTTGGATTACATTTAAAAGTTGACATCACTGTGACTTGCCACACTTAATTATGAACACTCTTAATGGAAATATATTAATCACAATGTCATTTAGAAGGCTAACTTCTTCATCAGCAGGTACATGTGCTGATCCACCTCGAAACCATGAAGATTGTTGGCGTCCCCCTGCAACCTCATGAGGAGCCCACCGAACGAGACATATGCTGCTAACCGTGATGCAGGCTCCATGGCTGCCTCGTCGCCTTCTATCCTGAAAAAGAAAAACCATCTGTATTAGTATTTTATGAGGGCCAGTACTGTTTGTGGGGGGAAAAGGATAGTCAGCAATACTTTTTTATGGATCTTGGAATGGCAAATAATCCAATGACCGAATGAAAAGTGATTATTGCTTTTAGACATGCACAGCAATTTTTTTTTAATAAAATGCAATAGTAACTCCATCCTCGCTATCGGTACATGCTGACAGGGTACCAGTAGAGGATGACGGGCAAGGATGAAGGTGGGTCAGTTGGATCATAGTGACCAATTCTGTAAGAATTAACCACTATGGTTTCAACGGGGAACCATATAGAGGTTGACCTGATAGGATGTATTGCAATCCCTTTTCCTCAATGGCTACTGTTGCTTATGGACACTTACAACAAGAGGCAAATCACCCGTGTGTAGTCTTTTAAATATTTGTATGGTTTATCAGTACACTACACTTTAATAAATTTAGATTTTTAAGTGTTGTAAAGTAAGAAATATTCAAACTTCTCTTTATAAAAGAAGGCATAATTAAGTATTGCACTTGAATTATTCACTTGTTATTGTATATGTTTGTTTATGGTGCAATAAAGAGTTAAATAAATAAATAAAATAAATAAGTATTAATAGAATTAATATGAATAATTTTTTTTTTATATTTTTTTACTATTGTTTTATTTTTATATTTAGCTTGCACATAATGCAATTAATCATACTGATTAAGTTACCTTATAATAAAGTATTTTATTTATGGATCAATATTTGGTAGAAGGTACATAATTATATACGTGTAAAAATAAATAAAAAACAAAAACCATGGAAGTAAACAAATTAAATCTAACCTATAAACTTTTCCAGACATCACATATTCAAAACTGTCCGCACGGTTTCCCTCCGTTTCTAAGGGGTTCCATTCTCCGCCGTCAGGGTAACCGTCCTCCCTGAGTGTTGTAGCAAGCACTAATCTAAACTTATCACCCAATTCCATGGGATATATCCATGAATTTATGTCTAAAATTAGGTCCATTTTAAACGATTCTGATTCGCAGTGGAGGCGGCTAACTCGATCGAATTTTTTCCCCTCTGGATCCATGTCTTTAACATTGAAAATATCTTCAAATAGTACACCCGCCATTATGTTATATTTATTTATAATTCAAACATTAATAAACGCATTTGAAATCTTCTAAAAAATTTTAAACAAAACAAAATAAGACAATACCAAAAATTCAAGCCTAGTTAAAAGCGTGACTGACTCAGACTGATTCATTATAACCTAAAACTGATATTTTGACATTATCAATCAAATATTTTGTTGGCTAAATTGAAAGATTATGTTGCATTTTTATAAAGTTATTTAATTTACACTTTATCCCGAAATATAGATAAATTGTGTAAAAATTAAATTTTATTTATACAATACTACTTTGAGCATAATAAAATTTAATGTCAGCGAATAATAATATTAAAAGTACTAAGTTTTAAAAATTAAGTAGTAATGATTGTATATTATTGAAATTAAATGATTCTTGTAACTTTATTTATTTGAAATAATAAAATACGAAATAAAGAATATAACATGAAGAAATTAAAATATTTTGATGAACGCATTAATAAAGTTAATATTTGAAGATTGGTGACTCTGTTTAAACAGAAGGTATTACCAGTAAAAACATAAATTACATATACTGCACGTTATTATTGATTAAAACAATAATGTATTTCATATATTTTAAAACAGCTATTGATGTCTTATTAGCATATAAAATAAAACAGACTATAATACATTTGAATGCTATTGTTACATTATGCAAAATTAATGTTTCTTTAAGTGTACATTAAGGTTTATTTAGGATCTTTTTCATGGATGATAATAGAATGGAAACCCTGCCTGCGTTGTCGGTATACGCTGGCTGATAAAGGATGATAGGTAACCATAAAAACAGATCAGTTCATCCATCGTGAATTTCGTTAGAATTAACCACAATGGTTTTCAAGAGGAACCGCGTTGAGGTCGACCTGATACTAACAATTCCTTTCCCCCACATGACAGTCTGGTGTTATAGGCGTCTATAGGTCACAGAGAACGTTTATCATCAGACGGGCTGTATGCTTATTTGCCGCCTTTGTGGTATTAAAAAAAATAGTATTTAAAAGGAGTAATATTGAGATTCTTATTTGTAAACAAAGTAAGACTTTATAATAATCTTGAAATTGAATTGTTGAATAATTTATACTTATTTAATTTGTTCACGACTACAAACACTGTTTAATATTATGTACTATGGAGTTGTGTTGTTTAATATTACGTACATTTGTATATACTCTATTCATTAGTCAGTAATATTCGTAAATATTATTTCAAAAGAACTTAATCAAAATTTAAATAATGAATTGACCCGATAATAGAAATCGCAGCAGTTCAACAGTCGTACAATAAAAAATCGATTGAATTAATGTTTTAATTTGTTACTAATTTAATTTAAAGAGTTTATGTGATGATTTCAACAAATTTTGCTTGCCTTTTCAATAGCGATCTTTTAAATGAAATGTGATTGTTTTGGGTATAAATAAATTTGTGTAACAAAAACAATGTACACTGGCAACATTGATAGACTCGACAGTTCCACACTCGTTTTACATTTTTAGAGCTAACCTCTATTTTGAAAACCGCACGTGTCGTCTTTTATTGTTTGCTCGATAAAAATTACTATTCCATCTGACCATTTGTAATTAGGGCGGTGGATTGTATATTTACACGCGACATCTAAATAAATTACGCAGTTGTCTAACAACAGCGTAATAAGTGAGAAAATGACAGACGTACTGCAACCGGGTGGCGATGTATTTACCGAGAAAAAAAAGAAGAAAAATAAGGACACAGTGTCTTTGGGGGCTTTTCAGAAGATCGGGGAGTTCAAGATTGAGCCGTCGGAGAGCGTCAGCAAGTTAGATACTGCTTACTGGCCGTTGTTATTGAAAAATTTCGATAGACTCAATGTGCGCACTAACCATTATACGCCGTTACCATTCGGTCATTCGCCTTTAAAACGGCCTATAGCTGATTATATCAAATCTGGATTTATAAACGTCGATAAACCCAGTAACCCGAGCTCCCACGAGGTCGTATCATGGATCAAAAGGATATTGAAGGTGGAGAAAACAGGACACTCCGGTACGTTAGACCCCAAAGTTACTGGCTGTTTAATTGTGTGTATAGACAGAGCGACCAGACTTGTGAAGTCCCAACAGAATGCCGGCAAGGAGTACGTAGCTGTATTCAGCTTGCATTCCGCCGTTGAAAACTTACAAAAAGTCACACAAGGTTTGGAGAAACTTCGTGGAGCTTTATTCCAGCGTCCACCCTTGATATCGGCTGTCAAAAGGCAGTTACGTGTAAGGAGTGTTTATGATAGCAAACTCCTCGACTATGATCAGGAACGGAACATCGGTGTTTTCTGGGTAAGCTGTGAGGCTGGATCGTATATTCGTACCATGTGTGTCCATTTGGGTCTCATGCTCGGTGTAGGAGGTCAGATGATAGAGCTGAGACGTGTGCGTTCCGGTATTCAGGGAGAAAAGGAAGGCATGGTTACAATGCATGATATTTTAGATGCTCAATGGGCATATGAAAACCACAAAGATGAGACTTATATACGAAGAGTAATCAAGCCTCTTGAAGGACTGCTAGTAGCCCACAAGAGGATTTTCATTAAAGACAGTGCTGTTAATGCTGTATGTTACGGAGCAAAAGTACTATTACCTGGCATTTTGCGATACGAGGATGGCATAGAAATTGATCAAGAAATCGTTATTGTCACAACTAAAGGAGAAGCTGTTGCGCTTGCCATCGCCCTCATGACCACATCAACAATGGCCTCATGTGATCACGGAGTGGCAGCAAAACTGAAACGAGTAATCATGGAAAGAGACACATATCCTAGGAAATGGGGCTTAGGGCCAAAGGCATCTCAGAAGAAGCAGTTGATCCAGCAAGGAAAACTAGACAAATATGGTAAACCAAATGAGAACACTCCAAGTGAATGGTTAAACAGTTATGTAGATTATAAAGTGAAGAAAGAGGAGAAGAATGGTCCAGTAGATACAGAAGAAGGGAGTAGGAAAAGGACAGCAAGCACAGCAAATGCAGATGACCCAAACAACTCGACCGAACTGAAATCTGAAAAGAAAAAAAAGAAGAAGAAGCACGACCTCGATGCCACCGCAGATGGAGATGCATCAATAGATGCAAATGTGACCACAGAGGGCACAGATGAAACAGTTCGAAAAGAGAAAAAAAAGAAAAAAAAGAAGGACAAAGACCAAGAGAGAGATGAATAAGTTCTTTGGTACTATAATTGGTTTAAATAAATTTTTAAGCTGTTCCTATATGGAGTCATTAAGAGCAAGTTAAAACATATATTTTTTCAGTGATTGTAAATATTGCATTTACTTACGGCGCCAATTTAAAATCTCATTTATATACAATGTGGTTTTATAGTTTTGAAAAATAGTTCATGCTCTTTAAGAATTAATTTTAAATTCAAATTTAAAAAAATATTGATGTTAAATGCATTCTGAATTTAAAATTGTTATTAGAAACTATATATAAACAGAAAGTGTGGAATGTGACCTGTTTCCTTTGCCATTACTTTGCATAATAATTTAAAAAAAATAATTTAGGTCTGTTCAGTAATTTAAAAAAAAAGTAAGTAGCTGCGCTAGATCTAAATAAATCAAATAAGTTTTCTTGTATTACAGGTTAATACTCTAATAATTGGTATTACTTTTTTTTTATATGAAATATCTACACCATTTTCCCACAGATAATAATATTTTTTTACATGTGTATAAAAATAGTTTTAAGTTAGTTATAAACAATGAATGTATGTTGATAAGTAAGTGGAAATGATTGTTTTAATTCTTAAGACAAGTTGATCATCAACATTAAACGTTTTATTAAATTTTTTTTCTGTTGTTATTTTAATTTGCAATGATTAAAATAGCGGTATATATTATGTATACCTTCAGTATATTTATCCTTGTGTTATGTTTGTACTGCCAACCTGCAGTGCTTGTATGGTGTTTCATATTGAAGGGTGGGATACGTAAATTAGATAGCCCTCTGATGGGATTGCTAGCTCAGATAACTAGATCAATGTTAGTGATTAAGTATTAACATAATTTTTAAATAACAATACCATCTGAAATGGCAAAGCATAAGGGGTATTATGGACACCACAGTCCATCTCTTATGTTTATGGTGTTTTTCTTGTCTGTATATTTATTTATTGATATATATATTATTTGCCATTCAAATTGTAAAAAAATGTCTATTTTTTTTTAATGGCTGGTAATGTAACTATGTTATCGGTGTATGCTGGCGGGGCATCAGTGAGGAATAATAGATGAAAATGAAAAGACAGGTCAGTTAACCAATCGCAATAAATACACCTAGAACTCAGCATGATGGTTTCCAAGGGGGACAACGTGGAGATTTAGTTGACAGGGTATATTGCTAGCAATTGGACTAGACCGTATTACTAACGAAAAAAATTTCTTTTTTTTTTATACAACTTAGAATGGCAAACAAGCTGACGGTCCACCTGATAGAAAGTGGTAACCGTCGCCTATAGACATGAGAAGTACCATATGCCTACGGACACCTATGGACATAACAGAGTATACTGTTTCATCCAAGATACTCCCCATGCGTTGCCATTCCTGAGGACTCAGATGTTATTCCTCTGTACCCTGTAAATTCACGCCATATCCCACCCTTTAAACCAAAACACAACTGCTTCACGGTAGAAACACGAATGGGGCAGAGGTACCCAAGCATTCGACTTTTGTACAGTCTCCCTCTGGTATGCCAATGGCCGTGGTTATTTGTGACTTTATGATGTACACAGGTGTGAAAATTTTTTAGTTCACTTTTCAACACTAAAGAAGACGTACGTATGATGCGTAAATCATAACGTAAGAAATGAATTGCTGTCATTTCTTCAATTGTCAATGACAGTTTTACTATGGAAAAAAAAGGCGGGAAACTCGAATAAGAACAAGCGGGTTTTTTAAATTTTTTTTATTAATTTATAAAAACTATCTCTATCAATTCTTATTATTGAATAAAATATTATATTTTCACTAAATTCAGTGACAGTAATATAATTAGCATTCATGGGGAAGCGCAGTTGTAGGAAAAGGAAAAAAAAAGATGACGATTCAGGTGATGTAGACCATGAACCTTGTAATGACAAGGATATATATTCGGAAGATACTTCTACTGACTCAGAATCTGAAATTGATAAGGCCGATAAGTATAAACCTTACTACGTCACAGATTATATTAGAAGATATCCCGAGGAATCCCCTGGGACAGAATTTGTTGTCTTTGTAGAATCCTCAGATAGTCAGAAAACCATTGGATCCAGAGACTTGCTCTCACTCTCCTCCTGTTTAAAACGTTTTAATAAAGGGGTAACTTATCTTAGATCTATAAATAAATTCAAAATCGGAGTATACTTTCAAAAGCCAGACTTAGCCAATGCTTTTTTAAATAATAAAACTTTTTTAAATGACTACCATTTTAAGGCCAGTATTCCTGCTTCTTCAACAGAAGTTACAGGCGTTATTAGAAATGTACCTACAAATATATCTAATAAAAAAATATATACTATGATATCGAGTTCTAAGAAAATTATTGCTATTAAAAGAATTTTAAGAAAAAATACCTTGACTCATGGATATGTGTTACAGCCAACTCTAACCGTGACAATTACTTTTGCTGCATCTGTATTACCTGAATATCTGGATATTGGAGATTGGCGCCACAATGTCACTCCATATATACCACCAGTTAAACAATGCTACCGGTGCTTGAGGTATGGACATTTAGCTAAATTCTGTAAGAATTCTGAGCGTTGCAGCATCTGCAAAGGTGAGCATAATTATAAAACTTGTACAACTGGAATGGAAAACGCTATTTGTGTACACTGCAATGGAAATCACACAAGTGTATCACCGCAATGCCCTGTTAAACAAAAGAAAATTGCTGAAAATAGATCTAAATTCAGACCTGCTTCTTTTGGAGATATACTTAGCACTGAAATATTTCCTAAACTGGGTAACAAACCTAAAAAAAATGTAGACCTAATTTCAATTCTAAATTCTGATAACAAGAGTTTATCACTTTTAATAGAAAGCATAATCAAACTTATTTCACTACATAACACAAAGAACACATCTATTAACACTAAAAGTGTTTTGAATGTGTTATATGATACTTTTGGTAATACACCTATTTCACAAAATTCAATCGAGACCAATTAACTATCATACAGTGGAACGCTCAGAGCCTACTGAGCAATCGACATATTTTTACACAATTTTTAAATGAACATCATATTCACATTGCTCTCATCTCAGAAACTTGGCTAAAACCACATTACAAATTAAAAATTAAAGATTATTGTATAGAACGAAATGATTGTGGTAATAACCACAATGGAGTAGCGATTATTATACATAATAGTATTAGATATAAAAAACTTCACTCTTTTTTCGACAATTCTTTGCAAACTATAGCTATTAGTATTGAAGTTAATAATTCTTGGTATTCAGTTGCCAGTATTTACTGTCCTACCAATAGTACACCTAGTTTTACTAAAGCCAAATTTAAGTTCTTTTTGGAGTCTCTTCCTAAACCAACTATCATATCTGGAGATTTAAATGCACATCATACTATGTGGGGTTGTACCTCCACTAATACAAGAGGTAAAGACATTCTTGATTGTTTAGATGAATGTAATTTGGTACTATTAAATGATAAGCAAGTTACTACTGTTGGCTCTCATATTTGGAGACCCAATGGCCTTGATTTAACTATGGTATCCCCATCCATATCATTAAAATGCGAGTGGTCGGTTCATGATGATCCGTTAGGAAGTTATCACCTGCCGACTTTTACTAAAATAAACACAAAGAACTCTTCATCAACTCCGTCAGGTGAACAACATGCTCCTATAGATGAAGTTAATAAACTTTTGTTAAATCGTATAAACCTACGTCTCGTTAATTGGGATCTTTATTCTGAAACTGTTAATCGATTACTTTTGGATTTCGAGTATGATGTCAATGAACCCTTAAACAATTACATTTTTTTTTTTTTTTTTTTTTTTTTAGTACGTTTGTTCCGTTTGGAACAGGCTAAGGTCGGAGACCATGCTGCCTAGTCTTCAAAAAGATAATTTGTCTGGAATTTTATTTTTCTAATGTCGCTTCAATTATTGTCATAATCTTCAATATTTCATTTGTCAAATCCGGTAAGTACATTTTCATAAATATCTTTTCTTGAGTTTTCTTAAACCAGTGGATTTATCAAATTAAAAATAAATAATTATAAAAAATTATTGTCTTGCAATTCAATAAAAGTATTCTTATAGCTCCTTGAATGTTGTAGTAATATAAGTGAAAATAGCTTTGAAACAAGAAGGAAATCTTAAGAGAAGCGGGATTGAGTGCGGGATATTTTCGGGTTTTTTGAAGATAATCCTAAGTTCGTCAAACATAATGTGTCTTTGAATGACAAATTCAGAGCAATCAAAAAAAAGGTGATGTAGAGATTGGGCTGTATTTGAGTTACACCATGTGCATGATGGGGAAGCGATCATGCCCATTCGGTGCAGGTGTTCGTTGAAATGTCCGTGGCCGATTCGTAATCTACAAATATTGGTGTAAAATTTTCTGTTTGTGTCCTTTCCTTTGCAGAACCACGGTTTTCCAATACGCCAATTAATTTTGCGGTACCATTTGCCTTTAGTCTGTAATATTTGAGTCCAATGCTCCTCCCATTTAGTTGTAACGATTTTATGTATTCCAATACTACAATCTGAGTAACAAAGGGGTAAATCTTGAACACGAGCAGCACTTGAATTAATAATTTTAGCCAAAGTGTCTACTTGTTCATTCCCAAACACTCCAATATGTGAAGGGGTCCAGATGAAGATAATATCTTTTCCATATATAGTACAGAGATGATAATATTTATTACGAATTTCTTGAATTAAGTAGTTTGATGATGAAATGATTGTGTTATTTTTTAATGCCATAAGAACACTCATACTATCTGTAATTATAATCCATTTCGAATATAGTACCTGTTTTTCTATGTATTCTAATGCTAAAAATATAGCTTTTGCTTCTGCTGTGTAAATACTAGCCAAAGTTGAAATTTTATAACCGTGACCAAATCTATTTGACAAATCGTAAAAAGCCACTGAAGTGCTAAGTGCATTTTTGGAACCATCTGTATATATCTGCCTGTAGTCAATAAATTCTGATAAAGTCTCATACATATCGTGCTTTTCTTTTATGTCTTTATGTATAACAATTTTGATCTTACAGAACTTACTCTCATAAAGGCCATTATAACAAGGAAGTATCTTACTACTATAGATGTTATATTCATCTCGTAAATTCAAATCATTGATAATAGTTTTATTCAAAAACATAGAAATGGGGCAATTTAATAATTTGAGTATGAGTGGGTTATTGGAAACTGAAAAAACTTTGAAGAGAAATTTGAGTTTTAGGTATTCGAAACGAAGAAGGATAGGAGGCAAATTACATTCTACTTGCATTGAGATAATTGGAGAAGTATACATAGCACCTAAAATAAGTCTTAAATTCATATTTTGAATTTTTTCGAGTTTTTCTACTAATTTATGTTCTGAGGCATAACAAAAGAAAGCGTAATCAAAATTACTTCTAACAAGAGATTTGTAAAGTAAAAGGATAATTTTAGGATCAGCTCCCCAGTTACGACCAATTACAGATCTTATTATATTAGTGGCTCTTAAAGCACGATCTACTAAGCAATCAACGTATAGATCCCATTTTAAATTTTGATGAAAAATTACCCCCAGAAATTTAACGCTACAGTCTGTTGGAAGAGTTTGATTATTATATATAATATTCATTAATGGAACATATTTATGAACTTGATGAAAAACAACTACTTTACTTTTGGTTAAACTAATATCGAGGGAAAGAAGAGAAAAATATTTCTCAAGTCTTTTTAATGACTCATTTAACACTAATTGCATATCAATAATATTCTTTCCTTTTATATAAATTAATAAATCATCGGCAAATTGCAAGTTGTTCACACTGTTTCCTAAAACTAAATTAAGTTTATAGATATATAAAATATATAGTAGCGGGCTTAAAATACCACCTTGACATACTCCTTTAGAGCTTAACCTAGGTCCTATTAATTTACTATTTACTTTAACATACACTTCTCTATTACTAAGAAAATTATAAATCCATTCGATAAGTTTCATTGGAAGAAATGAGGATAGAATCGAAGATAGAACTGTTAAATTTACATTGTTAAAAGCTCCTACGACATCTAAAAAAACAGATAGAACATATTCATCGTTATTCAAAGCAGTACTAAGGTCGACATAGAAGTTCGCTAAACTTTCGCGCGCTGAATATCCACGGCGAAAACCAAATTGATTCGATGGTAATATACTATTACTTTCAATAAAGAACTCTAAACGCTGTTTAATTAATTGTTCGAATAATTTGCCTGCACAGGACGTCAATGTTATAGGTCTATAGGAGTCGAAATTTGTAGGATCTTTACCGGGTTTTATTACTGGAATCAAACAATCCATTTTCCATTCTGGTGGGATAATACAGTCCTTCCATAAATCGTTAAAAATTTGTAAGAGTTTAGTAAGGTTTATTTTATTCAGCAATCGAAACATATTGTATGTTAAGCGATCAAGGCCACTAGCTGTATCTTTTCTAGATTTTACTGCACTGGATATTTCATCAATTGAGAATGGGTCAGTGAGAAATTTTGGGCATGAATTAATAGAATTAAACTGTTTGTCATCAAAAGGTGAGTGTACAAAATCAGGAGTATATTTGCGTAAAAAATCATTGACCCATGATATATCTTTAAAATGATTTTGACGATGTTTTGAATTTAGTTTTCTCATATTTTGCCAAGCAGTGGAAATTGGTGTTAATCTATTAAATTTGGAACAAAATTCCTGCCACCCCTGTTGTCTTACTTGCTTAATTACTAACTTTTTAACAGCTTGAACTCTTTTAAAATTTATGTAATTATCGAGAGTTGGATTTTGTTTAAACCTAAGGTAAGCCGCTTTACTATCATTGACAGCTGTCGCACACCTGTTATTCCACCAAGGTACTGCAATATGTTTGTGCCTCTTTGAAGTATTTGCACCGCTATTTGATAAGTTCCTACGTGGAACGGAACGTTCCACAGCTGTCAAAATAATTTTACAGAACCTATTGTAATTGTTTAAGGGTTCATTGACATCATACTCGAAATCCAAAAGTAATTGATTAACAGTTTCAGAATAAAGATCCCAATTAACGAGACGTAGGTTTATACGATTTAACAAAAGTTTATTAACTTCATCTATAGGAGCATGTTGTTCACCTGACGGAGTTGATGAAGAGTTCTTTGTGTTTATTTTAGTAAAAGTCGGCAGGTGATAACTTCCTAACGGATCATCATGAACCGACCACTCGCATTTTAATGATATGGATGGGGATACCATAGTTAAATCAAGGCCATTGGGTCTCCAAATATGAGAGCCAACAGTAGTAACTTGCTTATCATTTAATAGTACCAAATTACATTCATCTAAACAATCAAGAATGTCTTTACCTCTTGTATTAGTGGAGGTACAACCCCACATAGTATGATGTGCATTTAAATCTCCAGATATGATAGTGGGTTTAGGAAGAGACTCCAAAAAGAACTTAAATTTGGCTTTAGTAAAACTAGGTGTACTATTGGTAGGACAGTAAATACTGGCAACTGAATACCAAGAATTATTAACTTCAATACTAATAGCTATAGTTTGCAAAGAATTGTCGAAAAAAGAGTGAAGTTTTTTATATCTAATACTATTATGTATAATAATCGCTACTCCATTGTGGTTATTACCACAATCATTTCGTTCTATACAATAATCTTTAATTTTTAATTTGTAATGTGGTTTTAGCCAAGTTTCTGAGATGAGAGCAATGTGAATATGATGTTCATTTAAAAATTGTGTAAAAATAAGTCGATTGCTCAGTAGGCTCTGAGCGTTCCACTGTATGATAGTTAATTGGTCTTGATTGAATTTTGTGAAATAGGTGTATTACCAAAAGTATCATATAACACATTCAAAACACTTTTAGTGTTAATAGATGTGTTCTTTGTGTTATGTAGTGAAATAAGTTTGATTATGCTTTCTATTAAAAGTGATAAACTCTTGTTATCAGAATTTAGAATTGAAATTAGGTCTACATTTTTTTTAGGTTTGTTACCCAGTTTAGGAAATATTTCAGTGCTAAGTATATCTCCAAAAGAAGCAGGTCTGAATTTAGATCTATTTTCAGCAATTTTCTTTTGTTTAACAGGGCATTGCGGTGATACACTTGTGTGATTTCCATTGCAGTGTACACAAATAGCATTTTCCATTCCAGTTGTACAAGTTTTATAATTATGCTCACCTTTGCAGATGCTGCAACGCTCAGAATTCTTACAGAATTTAGCTAAATGTCCATACCTCAAGCACCGGTAGCATTGTTTAACTGGTGGTATATATGGAGTGACATTGTGGCGCCAACCTCCAATATCCAGATATTCAGGTAATACAGATGCAGCAAAAGTAATTGTCACGGTTAGAGTTGGCTGTAACACATATCCATGAGTCAAGGTATTTTTTCTTAAAATTCTTTTAATAGCAATAATTTTCTTAGAACTCGATATCATAGTATATATTTTTTTATTAGATATATTTGTAGGTACATTTCTAATAACGCCTGTAACTTCTGTTGAAGAAGCAGGAATACTGGCCTTAAAATGGTAGTCATTTAAAAAAGTTTTATTATTTAAAAAAGCATTGGCTAAGTCTGGCTTTTGAAAGTATACTCCGATTTTGAATTTATTTATAGATCTAAGATAAGTTACCCCTTTATTAAAACGTTTTAAACAGGAGGAGAGTGAGAGCAAGTCTCTGGATCCAATGGTTTTCTGACTATCTGAGGATTCTACAAAGACAACAAATTCTGTCCCAGGGGATTCCTCGGGATATCTTCTAATATAATCTGTGACGTAGTAAGGTTTATACTTATCGGCCTTATCAATTTCAGATTCTGAGTCAGTAGAAGTATCTTCCGAATATATATCCTTGTCATTACAAGGTTCATGGTCTACATCACCTGAATCGTCATCTTTTTTTTCCTTTTCCTACAACTGC